AAGCTCCGTAGAAACTGAGGAGATACAATCATTTTTGAAGTGCAAGTCATGGTAAGTTTTCAGGTTTATGCACCTTTGAGTTACGTGGTCCTCGCCTCACCAATTTAACTTCATCTCCTCATAATTCGTTAAGAATTCTCCTGAGCAAAACAGAGCCCAATTTGCCTGTGGCATTTTCTTTCTCTTCGTATGCTCTGGACAAAATTTTGCTGGCTTCCGTTACAGCTTCCTGACAATATTCATAATTCTACAATACCCTAAGATCAGCTTGAGAATATTTTATACAAACAAATTAAAGGTGCATAAACATGAAAACTTTGAATTTGTTTGTAAAAAAACCTTTGATTTGTTTGTATAAAATATTCCTAAGCTGGGGGTGGGGGATCTATGAGACCAAAAAATTTAAAGAAATGTATGAAGCTTAACTGGAATTTCCAGAGGGGTGGGGAGGTGTTAGAAAAAATCCCTTCTGTGGGGGATGTATGGACATTTTCTGGAAATACACAATTGAATAATAAGGTGCTGTACATAACATTATTGCATTTCAGGGATGTAAGAGATGGAAATTTCTCAATGGGAAGTACCATGTTTTTTCTCAAAACTGACTTTTCATATGAAAAGAGAAAACTGAAAACTGAATGCGTGCTTCATTGGATTGCAGAGAGAGAAGGTACAGGCCTTACATTGTGAGTTCAGCAAGAAATATTGTGAGTAAATGCTACATTGTATTTTTGTGTGCAAATTTGATTCGTTTCTGAGGAGTGTTTTGTTGTCAAACTGGCCAAAGTTCCCTGCCTTGTCTCTTATTATAACACCGTAGGATAAATAAATCAAAATTCGCTCAAATCTCGTTTAAACTCTCCATGTTGAGAAAAAATGGCACTGTCGAATGTTCAAGAGTATTTATTCGGTAAATTACCTATACATTGATTGATTTTAATGTCATGTTCCAATCTCCTTGGTAACCTCGTCATGTTGGCAAACCAAGACTCGCAGGGGTACTAGACTGCAATTTGTCAACCAAATTTCTTGTAACACCCAGGGTCCCCTCAGGTTGAATTTACAATGCAAAATAAAAATCGTACAGAATGCGTTTGCAAAATGGCTTCAAAACCAAAGATCGTAAGATCAACGGCGAAAGCTCCGTAGAAACTGAGGAGATACAATCATTTTTGAAGTGCAAGTCATGGTAAGTTTTCAGGTTTATGTACCTTTGAGTTACGTGGTCCTCACCTCATCAATTTAACTTCATCTCCTCATAATTCGTTAAGAATTCTCCTGAGCAAAACAGAGCCCAATTTGCCTGTGGCATTTTCTTTCTCTTCGTATGCTCTGGACAAAATTTTGCTGGCTTCCGTTACAGCTTCCTGACAATATTCATAATTCTACAATACCCTAAGATCAGCTTGAGAATATTTTATACAAACAAATTAAAGGTGCATAAACATGAAAACTTTGAATTTGTTTGTAAAAAAACCTTTGATTTGTTTGTATAAAATATTCCTAAGCTGGGGGTGGGGGATCTATGAGACCAAAAAATTTAAAGAAATGTATGAAGCTTAACTGGAATTTCCAGAGGGGTGGGGAGGTGTTAGAAAAAATCCCTTCTGTGGGGGAGGTATGGATAATTTCTGGAACTACACATTTAAACTTATGACCTTCATAATACAAATGCAGTCCTGGGAGCTGGTCATGTTGTGAGTTTAAAGACTTGAAAAATTCATCGAAAGGTAAGGAAACAGAAGTGTAACTCAATTCATTAGTAAAAGTATAAGTGTACTTGTAGATGGTGAAGAAATGCAAGTGAATACAGGACTGCAATAAAGGGATGTAACCCATAACACTTGTACATGTTATGGCTGAGTAAGCTTGATGGGCCCTTGGTGTTAAGGGTAAACTTGCCCATTATTCATAAAACTAACCCCCAAAACACAATTTTGTTACAGATGTAGAGATTAATGCAACAGGTGACTCAAAACATAATGACAACCCTGGAATAATTACATGAAACATGTTATATTTCAACAGTGAAAGAAAGAACCAAACGTAAGACACAAGAGATCAATACAATTAAGTATTAAGCAAATTTGGCAGCTGAGAAAATAAAGCCTGGAAAAATATTTGAGTTTGAACAAGATTCAAACCCATGACCTTTTTGATACAGGTGTGGTGCTCTGCCAACACAGCTATCGAGCAAGTTGGTGGCTGGTCAAAAAAAATGAAAAAATCTTAAACTATTTTAGACTTCCTTCATAGCATAGAAATAGCATTTTTCCTCTTTTTTTTTCTTCTTTTTGTGTGAGCATTTGTGCTCAAGTTTTCTTGCTGACCTGTATTTTATTTCCATTTAATGCTGATGTTAACTAGCTGCCTGGCTCTGCTAGCCCCTATGGTTATTCCAGGCAGCAAGTACTCTAATTTTTACTTTTAATATTTTCATTGAAATTGTAATTTTTACTTTAGCAAGAGTGAGTACAAATAAACATTGATTATTGATTATTATTGGTCATGTTGTGAGTTTTGTAGAGTCCGTAGAATGAACTCAGGACAACTCAACACAACACATGTTTAATCAACATGGTGACCCGTGAAAGCATGAGATCCCAGCATGCACTGCAAAGAATTTGCATGACAAATACATATATGGGCATAACTGTACACCTCCCTTCCTAGTACAATTGAGTGAACTGATTAACAAAGATAAAGGTAATTGCACGTCTGCAAGCATTGTTCCCTCCTTAAGCCTTGATTTGATGGTAAACTTAACTACTACTTAACAGTTTGGCTATCAAATATTTGATAGTGCATAGCACAGTCTCTGAAGTGCATAAATGCAATAACTGTTTCTTAGACTACCCTGATTAAGTCAAACATAGTAGTCTAGATGTCCACTCTCCCTGAACGTGTTTGTAATGGAGCTGTTTGACTGCAGACAGACTGCATTGGAGCTTCAGTTATGGTACCC